ATAATGATAATAATGATTATAATGATAATAATAATAAAAATGATAATAATGATAATAATGATAATAACAATACTTGTAATAATGATAATCTTATTATAATGGAGCTAAGCCCATTTGTGAGGTCAGTATACATGTACATTTTTTACACAGGTGCACGTAAAATCTACAAAGATATGATTTAGAAAGATATGATTCAGTTAAGAATTGTCACAAATGGTTACGTGGGCATATTTTTAAAGTTCTGAAACTACCTTTTTATTTTTCTGGTACGATGGTTTTTCCTGCAAATTGAAGCTCTCGGATGTTTTCACTCTGCCTTTAGCCATTTCGTATTTTACCGGGGACTACTTCTGTTTCGGTTTGTGCTTCGTTGTGTGTATGAGACAGATCTAGAATCTCGATATCTGACTCTGTTTGGATGTGCGCTTCGCAGTGTGGATGGATAGATCTACTTCAAGCCAAGCTTTAATGTATTTACTTTTTCTAGATACATTTGGTGTAGTCATGTAACCAACATGTTGAGTTCGTTTAGACCCACAAAATGTTTACTTCGTTGTATTGACGTTTTCAGAATTTGGCGTCTATTTGGTGGGTAGTTTTTTTTTTTTTGTAGAGCAAGACTCTAGATCTAGATCTCTCTATATTCCTAGATGTGTAATTTGGAGTACAGAATTTTAAGACTGATTTGGAGTAGTTTACAAGACAGAAGTGCCGTTTGTGCTTTATGACAGAAGGGTCATGGGTTTGAACCCTGCCATGGGCCGAAATTGTGTCCTTGGTAGAGGTATGTTGTATGACTTTTCCTCACTTCATTGAAGTGGGAATGGGTACTTGGCGGTGGGCGTGAAGGGTGTCTTGTAAAAATAATAATAACAACAATAATAATAATAAAAATAATAATAATAATAATAATAATAACAACAATAATAATAATACTAACAAAAACAATGATAATGTAAAAAATAATAATAATAAAAAATGTAATAATAATGATTATAATAATAGTAATAATAAAAATAATAAAAATAAAAATAATGATAATAATGATAATAATAATAATAGATAGCATTTGTATAGTGCATAACCGAGTTCATCAGCAAGCTCTATGCGCTTTACACTATATTACCCCAGCAAACCATAGACCACTCAGAAACATTCTCAGCTTCCCGGGAAGCATACAGTGCAAGCAGCTGATTAAACGCTCAAACACTAACGAACTGACAAGATCTTTCACTGTCTATAGCTGGGTACCCATTCCCACCTGGGTGAAGTGGGGAAAATTTGTGTAAAGTGTCTTTCCCAAGGACACAACGTCGGGTCCCTGACGGGATTCGAACCCACAACCTTACCGTTGCGAGTCTGAGAGCCTCTTGCAACTTTTCAGAAGACAGCTGATGGAGATACAATATATTATTATTGTACTTGATTCAAAAAAACATCCCAATGCTAATGAAACCCATGTCTTCTGAATGCAATGGCAATGAGCCTAACTGCTACACTTTATGTGAATAGGCATCTGACCATATCATGAACAGTGAAAGTATTCAAGAAAGTGGTTATAAAATACTTTTTGGGGTTTTAGTAAGAGTTTTACGGCACTTGCAACACAATAAGGTCATATATGAGTGCCGAAGATTACAGGTGTTACAAGAGAGTAACAAACACAAAAAAGAAGGAGGGCAGCTAGGAGATCATAGATTTTTTTATAGGAAAGGAGCAAACAACACCAGAGCACCCGCCAACCACCCACTATAAAATACTGGGAGTGGGGAGCACTATTGGGAGTGAAGAAGAGACACTGAGTACGAGTTGTACGTATGAGCATAGAGAAACACCACATTGATACAATAAAGAGGATTCAGAGCCAGTAAAAAGCCAGACAAATAGACCGACACAACGGAGGTATAAGACAGAAATAGGGCCGACAAGTGGCACCCTCCAACTACCCCATGGTACGACTCCTTTCAGAGCAATGAACAATAATTTTCATTGAGAAGAGTACTAAAAAAATAAACAGTAGAGCATAAACAAACAACACTATACAGCCGGAAAACACATAAGTTTATTGCACATTGTCTTCTCTATAACAAAAGACAAGAAAGAGATAATTAACTATCATTTATTAAGTGACAAGTACTTAAAATGGATGATTTAAGCAGCAAAAAAAAAAGCTTTCTCACACTGAAACAAGAGATTGGTATGATGTGCACAGGACATTCATAAACTGCAAATTTTGATGACAATAGCGATATATCGGTCATTTGACGCACTTACTTACTATACCGTTCAACTGCAAAGTTACACAACAGGGATTAAAAAGTAGACATACATATGAGGAATACATATGATGCATTTGAGCACTGAACCTCCCCTAATCTGACATTCCGTCCACATTACACGAATTGTCGGAAGCATACAAGAAAAATCATTCTCATTCATCCTAAAGACACAGTGGCTCTCTCAAAGCTTGAATGGAGCATCGAATCGACTGCCCAGTGTAAGTCTCCGCCAAATGCCATTTTGACAAGTGACGCATGACAGTGTGTTACACTGAGCAGGTGAAATGAGGCCTACTCTAATGAGCTTGCTAATGATAATGGAACAGAATTTGACATTTGCGTACATATGGTCGCCTTTAAGGACAAGTGGGCTAACCCAGATTTCGAGGGTTTCCAGATATCTTGACCTACACCAAAACTGGGTATTGCCCTTCCTACTGGAGAAGTTTGGTTTCATTGGTGAGTATATTTGTTTGGTTATAGAGAAAACTCTCCTTGTCTTTTACTTTTAAAGAAACTGAACAAGGGTCCAAAAACTTTACCTTCGATTTTCTCAAAACAACATTTTTTGTGATAGCCCCCTTGTGCTTAAAAGTGACCATATAAAGCCCAGGGGGGAACTACATGTATTACGACCAGTAAGGTATTAAGCTCAAAGTAGCCAACTAAGACAAAGTTGAGAACTGCCCTTGACATTGGCAGAATTGACCATCTCATCTCCACAGAAAGTGAAAACCGTTAACCACGGAAGAGATAAAGAATACAGATAAACTAGTGAGAAATCAAGGCATCCTAGGATAAGAAATAGGTTCTAACGGATAGTAATAAAGACAACCAAAAAAACTCCAACAAAACCATAAGCAGAGACAAGAAGGGAGGAAGCAGAATATTTTTAATAGAAGTACGGTACAGCTTAGCCACAGCTGAAATACATGTAGGAGTAGGAGGAAAAAACTGCAACATTCATTCAACCAATACCAATACGGTGATGCAACACATCAGCTCATCATTTATGACGCGTGAACAGTTGCATCACAACAAATCTAATAAGCCTGTTTTCCCATTATCCCAATCTGTTTAACCCTATCCGTACGTCGTGTTTTACTATCGTATCCATACGACATGGAGAGCTCTGTACCACCACTTTACCATATCCGTACGTGGTGTTTTACTATTGTATCCATACGACGTGGGGAACTCTGTGCCACCACTTCCAAAGAGGAAATTTACTTGTTAATCCGATCTGTATGCTTTGCATAGCAGTCTGTCAAAATGATTTTTTGAGAAATACTGAAAGTTTCAAAGAGATCTTTGTACTAGAAGTATTCTAAAATGTGAAGAATACAACCCCGGGGGCACAAAATGACCTCAGGGCATACGTATAGGGCTAAAACATCTGAAACACTCAATAAGTGCCACTCATCAGGCAAGCTATGACACAAAATTCTGCTCAACGACAGCTAAGCACAAGTATAATTTTCCCCAAAAAATAATAAACTGACACAAAATGTAATTCCTAAATCAACCGTTTGCACACACACACATATGTGTCACGACGCAGTGGTATCAGGTGCTTGTAAATTTTTGGGCCAGCGGAGTCATTGGTGTCATCTTAAAGATTGTTCAGTTGTCTTGCTATCAGTGAAAAAAATACCCATCTATCTTGAACAGAAGCTGAGGTACTTGAGATTGAAGAAGATGGGGTCACCTGGTTTCAAAGGTAGAATTAGCGAGAGAATGGCCACCACAGTTAGGTTATTTCCCTAGCTTGATAGTCTGTAGAAACAGAAAACTTACATTTTTTGTGTCTTTAATTAACGTTTTTCAGTAAAATCCATCCAGAAATGAGTTCTTAATTGGACAACAATGGTGCTAAGCCAAGAAATAAAACTTCAATAAAAATTGCCAAACTGGCAAAAAAATGCCAGTTTCTTCAATTTCATTATTTTGACGAGCGCCTGATTTCACCACGCTGCCTCACATATATATTTCATCACTTTAAAATTCATCATACCGCAGTTTAATAAAGAGAAAGCTAAAATGGAAACGTTTTCAAGCAGTGGTTTTCTCTTGCTCCCCCCACGCTTCCATCACACACAGATCAGACCGTACGATAAACTCTCTTGGGTCCAATTCAAATAAAACAAAGCTACAAAATAATATGTTTAATATATATATATCAGCCACTCATATCTCTCACGTGTATACAAGAATACAGAGAAGGAAGCACAATATATGTCACGATGCGGTGGAATCAGGCACTCGTCAATTGTTGGGCATATGGAGATATTGGTATTATCTTAAAGCCTGTCCATTTGCTGTGCTTTCAATGAAAAAAATACCTATTTATCTTGAATACAAGTCAAGATGTTTTCTATTGAAAGAGGTGGGGGTTGCTTGGTTTCAGAGGTAAAATTAGCGAGGCATCGGGCCGCAAAGTTTGGTCATTTTCAGTCTGAGAGTCCATGGAAACTGACAATTTACATTTTTTGTGCCTTTATAATCAAGGTTTTCAGTAAAATCCACACAGAAGTTGGTTTTAAAAAGGACATAAATGATGTTGAGCAAAAATTCACAATTTTGATAAAAATTACCAAAATGACGGAAAAATGTCTGTTTCTTCAATTTCATTGTTTTGACGAGCACAGGATTCCACCAGGCAGCCTCCCATATACTCGAACATCACAACTAGAGCAGATACTCACTTGCACATTCCACAAATACCAGTAACCATCTTTATTTGGTTGGCAAAGAGGAGTACATCAGCACGGTACAGGTCATTAAGTGATGACAGAGAGGATAGGTGACAGACAGCAACAACAGAGAAAGAAAAAACAAGTTGGACCTTCTTGTAAGGGCCAAACCGAGAAAGAAAAAAGATTGCAAATATTTTACCTACTTAGGTTAAAGAGTTCTCAAGAAGGTAGGAATGGGTCAAATGATTTCATAAAGACAATAACTCATGAACAAAAACACCAGAACAGTTCTAAAACCCGAAAGACTCAACATTCAATCAAATCAAAGTTCAGGATGTCAAGCGATGTTCAAGGGTCAGAAGCTACGACAAAAACTTGTGCTATTTCATCATGCTCGTAGGTCCTCTTGAGGAAGTTGTCTGTCAGCCGAAGCCCAGAAATGGTCTGAAAGAAGAAAAGTACAATTGCCTTTAGAGGTCGTGAACATGAATGAGAGTTATTCTCAATGGCTTTCGAAAAAAGGAATAAAAAGAAAAACAGAACATGAGAAAAATCAATGAAAACAGACACTGGGAAAAACCAACGATGGTAAGATTTCCGCAGTTTTCCAGTCCATCTTGATAAGCCTGACCTTCTCCTGGACTGCTTTAACATGGATGGTGCTCAACACATCCTAGCAGAATGATGAGATCATATAAGGTCGCTTTTAAGCACAAGGGGGGCTATCCCGAAAAAAGCTGTTTTGAGAAAATTGAAGGTAAAATTTTTGCCCCTTGTTCAGTTTCCTTAAAAGACATGGAGAGTTTTCTCTATAACCAAACAAATATACACACCAAAGAAACCAGACTTCTATAGGTAGGGCAATGCCCACTTTTGGTGTTGGTCAAGATTTCTGGAAACCCCCGAAATCTGGTTTAGTCCGCTTGTCCTTAAAAGCGACCATAAACTTTCTTACCTACACCTGGACTGAACTCACATCTTGTGAACAAAAGGCAAAGAAATTCTAAAAAACCTCAGACACTGGTTAGTACAGCAATGAATTTGTACAAAATTGTCTACAAATCGCTACCCTAGAATTACACAGTTCTATCTGCTCAGTACCTAGATTCTAGTTTTGAGAAATTTGACATAAACAATTTTGAGTTTCGCAACATGACAAGCTTTCTTGAATGCAATTCTTTGAAATATTTTGATAACGACACCGAATAATCTTAATTACAAGCAGATAGAACATTTGGTTTCTGATCTCATGGTCTTAGTTACTCAAAATGGTAAACAATGTCAGATAGAACTTTGTAAGATAAGATAAGACAAGATAAGATACCGTGATACTTTATTATCCCAGAGGGAAATTTTTCTTGTAATTCTGATCTCGCGAAATACTAAGAATTAAAAGGAGAAGAATTGGTACCTGCAGGCCAGGAATGATGGCGATGAGTGACAGAGGAATGTCCAGGCTCTCGTTGTGTGGCAGTTTGCCCAACTGACGACCCGACACTCCACACCAGAGCAGGCCCGCCGACTGCTGGCCCACGTTCTGCAGAACCAGAGTCAGGTCCATCGTGCGCTCGCTGGAAGAAATACATGTCGACATGATGCTTTGTGTAGCTAGAGACAAGGACAAAGCAACAGTACTGCTTTATTTCTCCTTTGCCCAATAATAATAATAATAATAATAATAATAATAATAATAATAATAATAGTAATAATAAAAAAAGCATTTGTATCCCGCCTTTCCCCATAGCATGGGCCCAAGGCGTACATAGGAGATTAAAAATGCATTCATACTAACACCATACAAATTTATCATGTGCGCACATTTTGACAGAAACATTCTTTCAGACAATAAAAAAAGCTCTCAAACAAAAAGGCAAGGTACAGTTCACTAATTAAAATATTTCTTACATGGATGTATTTTGAGTCCCCTTTTGAAGGTATCAAGTTTTATTTCGGTCCTCCTATCAAATTGACGCCACCTGATTAGTATAATGTTGTGCACATGACGTATTAGCTAAATCAACACGAGGTTAAGAACAGGTCAGTTTTGTAGACGGCACAGTGTACATTGCTACTTCCCTAATTACAATTCACTTTCTTCCTAGAGACAGTCTGACATTCTACATGTTAATCCTTCAAGCATCAGCCATTTTTGTGCACTCCCTAACCCAAGTCCCAGCCAATATGGCATTATTTCAGAAAAAGAGTCATGCATTCTAAAAAAGTGATTTAGTATCTTTGTAATGAGGTTTAGATAATGAGATATAACAATGTTTAAGGTAAATGAACAAATATTATGAAAATTAAAGTTTAATTAGGTTCGCTAATTTAGAAAAATGTGCAAATTTGGTACCCCCGAAACTGAAAATATTAGCTCTTGGGACGGTGGGAGGTACAAGCAATGCTGAAAATATAAGTGTATGGGGCTGGAAGGGTTAAGAGTAGGTTAAGGACAATTATCAGAATCCTATCATCAAGAACATCACAATGATATTATGTACATCTAGCTATGCAACTAGTAGGAACGGTTGCGTGTGTGTTGACGATGTTGAAGAAGCCAAACTACTGCTACAAAACGCTGTGAAAAGACAAGAAAGGCTGACAAAAACAATTAGAGGGATAAGAAAAATGAATGGTCAACAGTGGCACCCTCAACTCACCTTAATAAAATAATTATCTGGTCTTATTTCACACTTTGTTTGAGCGAACTTCCCATTACAACCACCTAGTCTAAATTTTAACCCTATCCGTACGCCCTGGGGTAATTTTGTTCCCCCGGGGTTGTATTTTTCACATTTTAGAATACTACTAGTACGAAGATCTCTTTGAAACTTTCAGTATTTCTCAAAAAATCATTTTGACAGACTGCTATGCAAAGCATACGGATCGGATTAACAAGTAAATTCCCTCTTTGGAAAGTGGTGGCACAGAGTTCCCATGTCGTATGGATCTGATAGTAAAACAAGATGTACGGATAGGGTTAAATAAATCAGATTCCTCTATTGACAGATAGATCTAGAACAAAAGACAGCTGAACAGATAATATACAAAGTATAAAAAAAATGTGCCAATCTTACAGCAGAGAGGTAGTCGTGCATGAGTGGCACCCCTTCTTTTACTTTTAGTTTTAGTAAGAGTTTTACGGCACTTGCAACACAATAAGGTCATATAAGTGCCGAAGATTAGAGGTGTTACAAGAGAGTAACATACACCAAAATAGAAGGAGGGGAGATAAGGACGATAGATGTTTGATAGGAAAGAATGAGCAAACCATACAACAGCACCTACCAACCACACACTGAGGAGAGCTCCCTAAAGGTAGGACAAAATCAAAATACATACTAAAATGACCACAAACATCTAAAACCCTTTCTTCAATTAAAGAAAATCCTTTACTAAAACTCTATACTTTTCAGGTACGGAACTGGAAACAAAATACACAAAAGACATCTTCAATTATTACTTTTCCCCCCTACCCAAATTAAATTATACCCCATTTCAAGGAGAAAAAAAAACAACAACCATTGACTGTCTTATAAATCTGAACTATACAACACCAAGAACAACATATGTGACAACTTCCATCTTTAGATACACACCATTAGGTTGGAGTTTTAGTTTTAGTAAGTGTTTTACTGCACTTACAACACAATAAGGTCATATAAGTGCCGAAGACTAGAGGGGTTACAAGAGATAACAAACACATAAAAAGGAAGAGAGATAAGGACGATAGATGTTTGATAGGAAAGAAGAAGCAAACCACACCAGAGCACCCGCCAACCACCCACTTAGGTCGGAGGGCCTAAGTCCAACTGTCGTTGGGTAAGTAACAACCGACTACAACTACAAAGATAGCGCATTGATCTGTCCCCGCGGTTTTATGCACCCTGTATAATTTAACAAAATTTTATCATTTTTTGCATAATTTCAGATTATTTTCCTTTATAATTCTTTGTTAAAATTAACAGAATCACATAATTTCACATTTTTGGGCTCAGTTTACATAATTTCAGAATTTTTTTTGCATAAAACCGCGTGGACAGATTGATGGTATCGGGCACATAAGGGCAATCTCCCATGAAGACTGCTTTACAGGAGTGGCTCAAACTGTTTCAACAAACTAATATTGATCACTAAAACAAACATTT